CCTTTCCGATCGGCCTGTGTGTGCAGCGGGCGGCTCCCCGTTCAGCTCCGGCGGCCGGGGGAGCCCGTCAAGACGAGGAGGAAAAACGGCGGTATCGTTTGATTCCGCGGTCTTTCCCTAATTGGTTAAAGGCATTCGCAATTCTGGCGAGTGTGATTGGGGAAAAGGCTCCCGAAAATTGCTCTCCTCTGTTTTGTTACCTGGACTCGATCGGGGAGGCTTATAGGGTTTACGGGGGTTTGGCGTGGTTGAGGTATGATGAACAATTTCGGCAGCGGAAGGCAAGGGTGTTGCAGGTAAGAACAGTATCCCTCTAATATACCCTTGTCATGCCAGGAAAAGATCTGGACATACTGGTTTTAGACAAGACACATAGAAAACTGGGTGGAACTTTAACAAGTCCGTAAGCATTCTCTTCATTATTGTTACATTTACTAAATGTCCTCACCACTCCATTTAATCCTGCTAAGTATGCAGGTGCACAGAACAGCCTGAGCAGGATAGATGTGTGGCTTGCAAGAGAAGAAGGCTGCAGCGATGTGACAGGTACTCTTTAGCTTGGCTGCCTCTCCCAGTCTCTACTAGCTTGACTCAGGAACCAGGTCTCTCTCCTTCAGTGCCTCTGCTTCTCTGTAAGCAATCACTTCCTTTCTTTTTTTCTCTCTGTACACACCCACTCCCTCTGGAACTGTAATCTGTAACTCAAATCTTTGTGATGCTGAGGTCAATCAATTGGACTACATATTCCATGAGTCATTTCTCCTCTTCATGAGGGAGTGGGAGGTTTTTTTTTTTGGGGGGGGAGGGTCACAATCCTTAAAGGGGCCAGTGAGAAAAATAAATAAATCTTCAGCCAAGAAACCAAAGAAAAAAACAACATTCTGCAGAGAATTAATGGCTGCAAGTCTAACAACCACCACTGGGCTACACAAAGATGCCCGGGTATACCTCTGCTGCAAATAATTTTATATTTACTTCAATGAGAAGATTGTTGTATAAAAAGAGTTTGTTAAGCAGATTATATGTACTATGAGCTGATGTGGTCCAGGGGGGCTAATGCCATGACTAACAAATGAAATGGGAGCAGTGACTTGGTGCATATTTTAGTGTGAGTGTAGCCCCGATATAGATATATACTGTACTGTAGAGAACTGTATTTCTGACTACAAACAGTTAATTGCCTCTGTGTGTGAAGAGAGGCGGAGACTTAGGGGGATTGCAGTGCAGAGCAGATATGGATACATTGTTGAAAGGACCTTGAGAACTGCAACTCCCAGGATGCTGTGTGAGAGGAAGGGAGAGGTTGATGGGCTACAGCTACTGAGCACGGGCAGTCTGGGACCGCAGAGCATAAAGACTATTGTCCGGTTGCCAGCAGCTGGAGACGGATGGGTTGGCGTGTGGCTGGGCTTTTTTATATTTCAGCGAGTCGGCGGGTGTCGTTCATCGTGATTGACGCTGGATTACATTGATGGATCAATTTTTTAAAATTTTTAACCAGTTGACATCCGTGGTGTTAAACCCCCTTCCCATCCAGGCCATTTTTCAGTATTCAGCGCTGTGGTACTTTGACTGACATTTAGTCCGTCATAACACCGGGTGAGGTCAGCAAGGAGTTGATCTCCCTTCCTCTTCCTCCTGACGCCCTCCCGACCCAATCCCGGGCCGCAGATGGGGCAGCGGATCCCGGGATTGAAGGTGAGGGGCCAGGAGGGGCAGAAAACCGGCGGCGGCAGACGGCGAAAAAACGAGCACATATAGACGATTGGCAGGCTATAGAGCCGACGATCGTCTATATGTGAAACACCCGATAACGGGTGTTTGCATTGGACGGGTCTTTTCTGCCCGTGTGCGCCCGCTAGGGGGCGCGCGCGAGCAGAATAAAACAATGCCGTCTGGAGACGGCAACCTGCCAATGCTGCAGTGCCGTCCGTCCGTTTTTTTTACAACCGACGGACGGCAACTGGTTAAATAAAGGACTTGTAAAAAACTGACTGTTTTTTTTTTATTAAAGGACTTTTTCAAAATGTGTGGTGTGTTTATTTACCATTACTTTTAACTCTTTAGTGAATTAATAGGGGTAATTCAAAAGGGGGGGATGGAATCTGGGTGCTCCTTAATTAAAGGGGTACTCCGATGCAAATAAGCCCCCCTGCCCACAGACCCCCACAACCACCGGGCCAGGGTTGTGGGGAAGAGGCCCTCTTCCCCGAGGGCACGTGGCCTGGTATGGCGCAGAGAGGGGAGGGCCACCCGTCCCCCCCTTTCCTGCCCTGATGGGCCTGTGCTCGGATCAAGGGTCTGGTAGGAATTTTAAGGGGACCCCACTTTTCTTTCCCCACTTTTTTGGGGTGGGGTGGGGTTTTCCCTTAAGTTCCTACCAGACTTAACCAGTTGACATCCGCGGTGTTAAACCCCCTTCCCATCCAGGCCATTTTTCAGACTGGTATGACTATTGGGGAGAACCCCCACACACTTTTATTTTTAACTTGGGGGTCCTTTCTAACATTCCTACCAGACCTAAAGGGTCTGGTATAAATTGGGGGTAGGTCACGCCTTTTTTTTTTCCTTCTGTGGACTGTAAAAAAAAGAAAAAAGTATTTGTTTTCCTTTTGTCTAATGCCACTTTGCTGCAACGAAAACATTTTCGTAACAAAAATGTGTACATCCTAACACTAACAACATTAAAGAAAAATGATATTTAGTCCAAATCCTGGAACAAATTGACTTTCGGACCGGAATCCCAAAAAACGATTTTTTTGCTGGCACACATGTCTAGCTTGCACCTGGCTCCTACCTATTTATCATTCTGTAGACCTATTGTCTAAGCCCCTTCCCACTTTTTAAAAGGACAATTTGGGCACACCGTCATAGCCCACCCACTGCCCCGTCCACCCATCATCTCGTCCACTGCCCATCCACTGACCCGCTCAGGAATTACAATTTCTTAAAATCCCCAGGTATGCTTATCTCTCCCCATGCAGTTTTCACCTTTCTTTTTCCTCCCACTACAGTAGCTTTAAATACATTAAGGCACCTCTGATCACCCAATCTTTAAAAGAGAGGGGGCTGGCTTATCCAAAAAAACCTGTAACGATATAGGACAAACTAACCACAAACTAAACTAACTAGACCATTAATCCTCATTTTTAAGGACTCCTTAATGACTGGTAGGATCCCCAGTGATTGGCGGATGGCTACGGTAGTCCCAATATTCAAAAAGGGGGCTAGGTGCCAACCTGGGAACTATAAACCGGTCAGTCTAACATCGGTAGTTTGTAAAATGCTAGAGGGCATAATAAAGGATTACCTGGTAGAATTTGTTCAGGAAAACGGGATATTTAATGACAATCAGCATGGGTTCAGGAAAGATCGTTCCTGCCTAACTAACTTGCTAACTTTTTATGGAGGGGGTAAGTAGAGATATGGACGGAGGTAAGCCGGTAGATGTGGTATATCTGGATTTCTCAAAGGCTTTTGATACGGTACCACACAAATGCTTGCTACACAAGCTGAGGGCTATGGGCATAGATGAGGTAGTGTGTACGTGGATAGAGAACTGGCTACGGGAACGGGTCCAGGGGGTATCTGTAAATGGCACCTTTTCAGACTGGGCTAGTGTAATGAGCGGTGTACCAATTCTAAGGGGGTATTTGGATCTCAACTGCGGTCCGTTACAATAAAATTAGATTACTCATATCTGTGATAAAATCCAGTGTAGTGGATGCGTATCTTTTGAGGAAGTGTTCATGCTTTCTAACAGATACTGAAATAGATGTATTAGTTTATATAACGCTTCATATAACAGAATATCCATGCATTCACATAGATACTGAATGGCTGTATTACCTCATTTGGCATTTCAAAGAAAAACAGAGTGTCCATGCATTTATATAGATACTGAATGGCTGTATTACTCCATAAGTCAGTACATATAACCAGAATGCCCATGCGTTCACATAGATACTGAATGGCTGTATTACTTCATATAGCACTTCTTATAAAAGAATGTCCATGCATTCACATAGATACTAATTTGTTGTATTACTATAGCAAGTAATCTATAACCGCAGTAAGCATGAGCAATAAGGTTTAAGAGCTACTTGCAATTGTGCTGTCAGGAGTTCACAGGATCAGGCTGTCTAAGTTAATAACAGGGATAACAGACTCCAAGAGGTTACAGCAGCTGCGTGGGAATAGCATGAAGAGGCTGGCTTGATAATTTTCAGCAACAGATCGTGTGTTTGCTCTGGGGATGATCCACTCAGATGTATGGATGGATTCAACTAGGGAAGGAGAATGGAGGTGAATGCAGCATGTCAGGTTGGCAAGCAGTCTAGATTTATTTGCCCAGCATCAGCACATTGCTTAAACGGTGAGCAATTGAACTTCCCGGCTTAAAACAGCTAAGGAAGAGGAGGGACTGTGTAATGCTGCAGCCTGTGAGATCCGGAGAGGTGGCTGTGAACTCCGGAGACGGATCATGGAAAGGGAAGTATATTGCAAAACCCTTCTCAGCTAGCCAAGGCTCAAAGGCAATGCAGTGCTTTTGGGTTTTTTCAAATTTGCACATAAATTTGTCAGGACTGCACAGGATTTGCCACGGTCCATGCTCATGGCAAATCTGAACCTCATCCCCAGTGATCACTAGGTCAGTGGGGATCAGTGGGTAAGAGTGGCAATATGAAAAAATTGGGCATTTGCCCTGGCGTTTATTATTATTTTATCACAAGAAAAGAAAATTCCACCAGTAATTTTTTTTTTTTTCCCCCAAGTAGCAACTGTTTTGCAAAATGCTTTCATTAAAATATTGATAAGTTCCAGCCTCAAGACTGTTACATCCAGAATGAAGATGGAATAACTGTCCCTGGTAGTGCTTTGACAAACAAAAAAGGTATATGCATTGAATAGAATTGATTTTACTGAATTATTTTGCTCTTAAACACTGACAAGAAATAGTGTGAATATTTCTGCATTATGTTTATAAAGCTTTTTTTTACCATCAAGGGGGCATTTCCACTTATCCAGGGATAGTATGGCTTTAGCAGGAACCAAGAATGCAAACGCACTTGCTTGAAAGAGAGGTAGCCTGAAATACAAACAGCATTGTGTGATTATAAATAAGATGCTTACAGAAGTAACTGTAACATCATGCACTCCCAACATATTATGCATATTGATGCCCCTACTATAATGAACAAGATGCACTGAAGGGATAAGGGAGCATTTGAATGCATGACTGCATAGGTCAGATAGTTTTCAGGTAAATACTAATACCTTTAATAGCATATTGAAGGGGGAACATTATTTCTTATAACAAACCAAAACGAACACTGCACAATCTACAATTCCACATGTTTGAAATAAGTAAGCAATGCTTCCCATTTAAAGTGACTCTTCAAAGATTTTTCAAACAGAAAGAGCAAGAGAGCTAGCATGTAGACAGCTAGGCACCTTGAGGTACCTGAACATACCTGCAGTACCTTTCACTCCCCCTTTTCTGAATAGACAAAGCTCTCACACTTCCTGGAAGTGATGGACCTTCTGCAGGTATGTGCAGGCACCTGCTAACAGCTTTCTCTTTTTTTTATTTCCGTAACAAAGTCTCTTCATATTGAGGAAGAGGCACCCTCTAATACTTCCTCAGTGTAACCTGCAATTTTAAATAAAGAATCTCCTTTACTTAGTTACATAGTATTTGGGGTTGAATAAAGACATACGTCCATCAAGTCCAACCCATATAGGTCCACGCATCATCTCATTCTTAGGGATACTGGTATCCCTGGATATTACGGTCCCTCAAGAAATTGTCCAAACGTTTCTTGAACAAATCTACACTCTTGGCTGAAATCACTGCCGATGGCAGTGAGTTCCAGACCTTAACCGCTCTTACTGTAAAAAAACCCTCTTCGCCCATTGTGCTGGAATTTTTTTCTCCACCAACTTTAGGTGGTGGCCTCTAGTCTTTGTAATGCAGTTAATCTCAAACAGTTTGTTGCCAATGTTGCTGTCACCATTGAACATCGTGTACATGAAAATCATATCCCCCCTTAATCTCCTTAATTCCAGCGTAAACATGTTTAAGGTCAAAAGCCTTGTCTCATAGCTCTGGTCCTCCATTCCCCTAATTCGTTTTGTTGCCCTCTGCTGGACTCTCTCCAGTTCAAGGACATCCCTTCTCAGTACCGGCGACCAAAACTGGACCGCGTACTCCAGATGTGGCCAAACCAACGATCTATATAGAGGCACAATTATAGACTTGTCCCTGCAATACATCCCCTTCTTAATACAGGACAAGACCCTGCTAGCTTTGTTTACCGCAGCTTGGCACTGCAAGCTACCATTCAGTTTGTGGTCTACAATGACCCCCAAATCTTTTTCTATTTCTGACTTCCCTAGCGACATACGCATTATTGTATAGCCTATTTGTTTATTTTTAT